TATCATTGTGGGAAAATTCTACTACCAGTCCTTCATCACCTTACACGAAATAGGCTGAATACATCTCATTTCACTGATTTACTGGTAGTCTCGAAACCCTACTCTAATACGAATATAAGTAATAATATTAACAAGAAGTTGAGTCAATCTGGATTAAATAAGCTATCAGCTATCCAAGAACTGATAGCTGAATTTTGCATGATGAGAAAACATTTTGGGAGGCAAGGTTTGCAAAGGTTCAACTATCAGTCCATAGTTCAACTTAAACGACCTAGCCTAATTAAGGCCTTATCCGTATTTAAAATTTTTTGCTGTTTATTTAGTCTTCCACTCCAAATTCGCTTATATAACTGTACTGGAGAAGAGAGAAAGGCTGATCAAGGGCTAAAGTGATAAATCAAGCGATGGCTGGAACCTGAGATCATGTGATCGCCAAGTCGTGGATTTCTCCCTTCACCAGGCGGGAAAGCAGATGAAATGACAGTTTCTCAGCCCGGTTCGCCGTCAATGTCCACCTCGACGATGGTGCTCAAAGAGGGGCGAACGGAACGGACCATACAGAGAAGGGTTCGCCGAGACAGGTTCCATACAAGTGGGCGCTTTGAGGTCCCGGGAGACTTTTTCAGGTAGTGCGCTTTAAAAAGTTCGGCGACCATCTGAGCACACGAGAGTACATGGGCCCATGGAATCTGTTGAGTGGGAATGGGTGGTGAAAGGGGATGGAGGATAAAGAGGATATAATAGACAAACAAGTCATATTTCGTTTAGGGTGATAAAGGACTGACAATTGAATTTTCCTACAATAGACCTCATGCTTCCACTGAATTGCACATGGCCTTGTCTCCAAAAAATATTCTCATCCAGCCAAGATTAGACTGAAGTTTCGATCTCGCCCAGGTATCATCAGCACCCCAGCGGAACTCGAACCCTGGATGTGGTAGTACAACGTATAATCTCGACACGTTTACCACATTGCCAGATTGCCACGAGTGCTCTTGGGTCGAAGGGCACCTTAAATGAAATAGGGTGAAAGCAACTATACTGGTAGTCTCGAAAACCTATGTACAAACTGAAATTACGTCATACTTAACCAGAACGACTCTCAGTTTTGGTTTATTTACCATCTAACATGCTGCTGTCGACTGTTTGAGGCCCAACTTATGGGCTGCCTTTGAAGAGCAACAAGCATCAAAGGTGCTGTCCAGTAGCAAATATACGCCCAGAGTAGATTAGACAATATAGTGTCATTCTTAAAAGACCCAATATATGTGACAAACAATGCTTGTAGAAAGGTTTATGGGAAGCCTTAAGTGCGAAAATGAGGGTCTCGCTTACTTATTTCCCAAAGGCTGGATTCACTTTCCTGTAACCAGCCTCACCGGGACTCCAACTCGGAAACTCGTATCAGGAGTAAAAAGAACTTAGGACCTCTCAAATGTATTGGGATTTTGGTATTTCATTATAGAAGTTGATGGCATTTATTAGGGCTGAAACAACCAAATAATCCCGACTTAGAGGAAATGGGTCTCCGAGACTTTCAGTAAGTCTTGAATAAGTCTTGCAAAATGTGATTAAGAAGTGAAAGTTAAATTTTCCCACAATCATACCACCTTGTACCACATAAGGCGACTGAAAGTCTTGTTTAATTTCCTCGATTGTGCTCGACTTCAGAGTTACGATTCAAATGTAGAGAATATTGGGACATATTATTTAATGAGTGGGCGTTAACAAGAGTTCGACTGTGACTTTAGGCCTAACTAGTTAAGTAGTAATAACATGATAGAATCAAGCAGGGTGGGCATATTGCATCTC